ATTCATTCCCAGAAATTTTATCATAAGATATGTTCAAGGAAAATGGAGAAAACCGATCATCTATAATCAAATTGCCATTCCAAAAACAATAATCAAACATGCCAGAAAGAACCAGAAAAGAAAACCCATTGTGAATCAAAACGGAAAAATGATAAAAAAAATTAAAGATATTTAAAATTGAAATACATAGGTATAATTTATAATGTCCCAAATAAAAATACGAAAAAATTATATCAAACATCATCAACATCATAATTATATGCCGTGATTTAAACATGAAAAATCAATTTTAATTGATAAATTGTGGCATAATTATTCCTTAAAAACCAAATTTCTCGTAAATTTAATAACAAGACAAGGAAATCTTATTATTTAGTATTTTTTTTTTCTTTTTTGGATTAAACATGAGAATCAAGTCTCTTGAATTATGATTAAAAAACAATAGCAATTAAGTCTTCATACCTCTTCGATTTTTTAAAAATACTCGTGTTCAACACATATTCATCAATATAAATATATTAGTTCAACTCTATAAATACTAGAAAAAAAATTAAACATATTCGTATCGAACACTAAATCATTTTCACATTCACCTCCGAGTCCAATTAAGTATCATAAAATACCAAAACTACAATTGAAACATATGACTACGTTTTATTGCATAATATTTGCAAAATTACATCTAATAAAGCAAGACAGAGTGAAATAAATACAAAAGGGGAAACAATATAAAAACACTAAACAAGCTACAGTTGAATGTTGACATCTCCTCCAGATCACTAACTTTGGACCATCCAACTGTTGAATTACCATTAAAGCTTGGAAACTTCAAACTTTGCCCCCCCTGGACCAGAAATGGTGATTGCGCTTGCCAAATTCTATTGTTTTAAAAGTTCACTTGAAAATGTTCCTGTTTGACAATACACCTTTTATTGGATCGTAAGAGATCTACATACGACACCGTTTCATTACATTTCAAAATATTTAAATTTAATATTAAATGTTATAAGATGCATCACATTTTATTTGAAGATCACGCAATATGTTTTATTTAATTTTTATATCATTTCATTTACGTATAGCGCTTTGACACATTATCGATAAAACATTAAGTGTCACATGAAAACTATATAATTGTCGGAT